CCTCTCTCCTTTTCTTTCAATTTCTCTCTCCTTTTGCGTGATTTTCATCGTTTTCTTTTTTTTCTGAACAATTATGATTTTATTCCGGAGAAAGTTGAGGTAATGAAGGATAAGCATGATTGGTTATTTTTTAGTTCTCTTTCTCCCTTGTCTATTATGAATTATATGTGTACACATATAAAGTAACATCTGTCACCTAACGCTGTTGAAAAGGGAGAAACGACGATCATGTTTTTCGTCTTTTCCTTCGAATGTTGTGAGATTTATAACAATTAACTAATAATTTTTATTCTTATTTGTTTCTCTTAATTATTATGATTCGGTATTTCTAAAAATTTAGAAGGTCGCGTTCCTAAAATCGGAAAAATAGGTGAAATTCCTTTACAGTATTGCTTGATAAACATAAATAATCCCGGTGTCGTATTCACACANGAACCTCTCAGGAGGACGAATGCAAAATTAATTAAATCAACTCAAGAATAAAAAGGAAAATTTATTACGAAAAAAAATCTAAATATTACATTAAAATTAAGTTTTTAATTAATATTAAATACAAAGTCTGTCCTCGGAAGTTAGCCTATATTAGTAAAACGAGGGATACCTAACGAGGACTATTCGAAACTTCTCGACTTACAACATACCAGAAAAGAATTGTCTTCTCTTCAAAGACCTTCTTTCTCCTTTTCGGTTCCTTATGCACTTTATTCTTTTCTTTCGTTATCTCTCTCTTTTTGATAACTATTTCTTCCAGTTTTAATACTCTCCTCGGATTCGTCTTTCTACTATTGTGTTGGCCATCTTTCCTAAGAGTTGACTCTCTTTCTGGATGCTGTGTTCACTCTCCTCTCCTCTCTCCTTTTCTTTCACTTTCTCCCACTTACTGCTTTCTCTTCCTCTCTCCTTTTCTTTCNGAACCTCTCAGGAGGACGAATGCAAAATTAATTAAATCAACTCAAGAATAAAAAGGAAAATTTATTACGAAAAAAAATCTAAATATTACATTAAAATTAAGTTAATATTAAATACAAAGTCTGTCCTCGGAAGTTAGCCTATATTAGTAAAACGAGGGGTACCTAACGGGGACTATTCGAAACTTCTCGACTTACAACACACCAGAAAAGAATTGTCTTCTCTTCAAAGACCTTCTTTCTCCTTTTCGGTTCCTTATGCACTTTATCCTTTTCTTTCGTTATCTCTCTCTTTTTGATAACTATTTCTTCCAGTTTTAACACTCTCCTCGGATTCGTCTTTCTACTATTGTGTTGGCCATCTTTCCTAAGAGTTGACTCTCTTTCTGGATGCTGTGTTCACTCTCCTCTCCTCTCTCCTTTTCTTTCACTTTCTCCCACTTACTGCTTTCTCTTCCTCTCTCCTTTTCTTTCAATTTCTCTCTCCTTTTGCGTGATTTTCATCGTTTTCTTTTTTTTCTGAACAATTATGATTTTATTCCGGAGAAAGTTGAGGTAATGAAGGATAAGCATGATTGGTTATTTTTTAGTTCTCTTTCTCCCTTGTCTATTATGAATTATATGTGTACACATATAAAGTAACATCTGTCACCTAACGCTGTTGAAAAGGGAGAAACGACGATCATGTTTTTCGTCTTTTCCTTCGAATGTTGTGAGATTTATAACAATTAACTAATAATTTTTATTCTTATTTGTTTCTCTTAATTATTATGATTCGGTATTTCTAAAAATTTAGAAGGTCGCGTTCCTAAAATCGGAAAAATAGGTGAAATTCCTTTACAGTATTGCTTGATAAACATAAATAATCCCGGTGTCGTATTCACACAAACATCTTCGAGATGTAGGTGCAAAGGACGTCTTGTCTGATAGCTAACAATTGTTTGATGAACAACCAGACAAACAAATAAAAGATATAAAATACATATATAGTTTAAAGTACAATAAAATTTTCAATTTATTATTTAAAGAAAATACATTGTTAGCTTAACATTAAAATAAGTTTATTAAAATTAAAACGCCAAGTGTTTTAATAATAACACAGTCTTGTGTTCAATAGTAAATAAATACGAAAACACGGTTTCAAAAAACGAATCAATTATAAAGATAATGTTAAAATTTGGAGGAAATTGTGAGCCTCCCATCCGGGAAAGTAACAAACTATGGAAGAAAATTGAATGGTTTGTATACGATAATTTTTCAAATCTTTATCTTGAAGAACTATTTTTGTTAAGATGTCTAAAATATGGCGTGTATTAAACCAGCCTGAAGACTTTGGGAGAACTCAAATCTTATACTGAGAGCTAGATCTTTTCTATCTAAAGAGACATACTTCGAAGTGTAATGTTATATTTTAAGGTAGACATATTGAATATATTGAACTTTTTCTGTTTTTCATTCTTTCCTCCCTAAGAGCACGAAGAGAACCATTGTTTCTTGTCCATTATTAGTTCGGCAAGTCTCACAAAGAATAGTTACTCAGGGAGGCAGTCGCCCGAAAAGGTAACAGGAGCCTGAAACAAAATACATATTGGGAGCTGTATAACAAATTAAAATATTATATTAAAGAATAGAAAGTAAATGGGAATACAGTAGAGCGTCGATTTTCCGAATCAATTGGGGACTGGGGTTGTTCGTATAACTGATATTTCGGATAACCGATTTATGTACGAAAAAATAGTTTAACGTATCCTATGTTGAAATTTTTCTCCGTTGCTTGTTGCTTCGCGTTGAATTTTCGTCGATGTCAAGCCTAACGAAGACTATTGTATCGTTAAAAATTATTTTTTTATTTTGTACAAACAAAATAAATATATTGAAAAATATAAAAATAATAAAAAATTATACTTCAGATGTTAATTTAGTATCAAAAACGTAAAATATTTGAGTAGCCCAAGACATAGACAAAAATTGAAGCGCCACAGCACTGGCGAAAATTTAAATTTGCCGACTGGAATTCTTTCGGATGATTGACGTTTCTTATGATTGACTTTCGAAAATCAGACGCTCTACTGTACATTTTATAGGATCTTACTTCTTTTGTACCCAAGCTAATTTGCTTCTTTCGCTTTTTTTGCAGTTTCCACATTCGAGAGAGATCGTCTATGAAAGATTCCTAGAGTTCGTTGTCCGAATTCGATTTCAAGAGCACCAAGATGATGTCTTTAAAGCTTCGATCATCCAGCCGTCGAATACATTGCATTATAAATTACCTCAAATGCCGATTTAAAAGATAATTAAGTATGATTTGTATACCTCGTTCTTCAGCTGTAACGAAGAATTAAACTTACAGACGTAATTTCATAAAAAGTCTTTATAACTTCTATGATATTTTAAAATTTAAATATACGATAATAAAAAGGTATTGAAATTAGCTTATAATATTGAATGTTTGTAAAAATTACAAAATACATAAATTACTTTTCAATTCTTAAACTGATTAAATGAATGCAAGCAAAAATGAATGCAAGCAAAACTTTAATTTTTTTAGCTTTCTTATCAGTAAATTAAATTTAAAAATTATTAAAATAAAATATTTTATTGCTTATGATTATAAAGCATTTAAGATGATTATGAACATAGATTCAATGTATTGAACTCGTGATTCCTATCTGAAAGAGCAGATTATGAATCACGAGTTTCCGAAGTAACAAGTGGAACTAACATGTGACACACCAAATTATCTGTCATATGAATAACCATTGAAAATGAATACAAATATCAACTTAATAATTATAAAATATTTGGATCATATTTTATATTATTATGTATACAGTATATGTATATTTATTTATTTACAAATGTGTGTAAATGCGTGTTTAAAAATATATATAATGTATTCGGATTAGCAAACATTTTTAAGTTGATCGTATAATGATAAGAATTTCATATAGTTAATTCGCATTGTAGTTTGAAGATTACTACTGTTATTTTATATTTAAGAATTATGATTTTACGCAAGCCAAGATAACACACTTTAAGTTTCAAATAGAAATTGGAATTTATTTGCTGATTTATCACTTTTCAATAGGATCAAACTAATTGTAAAATCGAAAACAAAATTTTAATTAATTCAAATAAAAGAATAAATAAATATCCTATTCTCACTCAAGTGTGTATGCGTGTTTAAAAATATATATATGGATTACCAAACATTTTTAAGCTGATCGTATAATGATAAAAATTTTATATAGATGATTCGCATTGTAGTTTGAAGATTACTACTCTTATTTTATATTTAAGAATTATGATTTTATGCAAGCCAAGATAACACACTTTAAGTTTCAAATAAAAATTGGAATTTATTTGCTGATTTATCACTTTTCAATAGGATCAAACCAATTGCAAAATCGAAAACAAAATTTTAATTAATTCAAATAAAAGAATAAATAATAATATAATTCTTTAAACCAGTTAATGAATCATCAAAAAACATTAACAATTTAACCTNGGAAAGTGTCTGGGTACTGAAAAATTAGTAAAAGTCCCGTGGTTAGGATCGAAGAAAATTAAACAGAGTGTGCTTACTTTCAAACAGTCAAATGTATGCCCAGGCGGAAAAGGACAATGTCCTGACTTTGAAACTTGTTGTCCGATGGCTGGCGGCCAAGAAGGATGTTGCCCTTACCCTGACGCCGTATGCTGCAGCGATGAAGTACACTGTTGTCCTTCAGGACATACTTGTGATGTAAAAGCAGGAAAGTGTCTGGGTACTGAAAAATTAGTAAAAGTCCCGTGGTTAGGATCGAAGAAAATTAAACAGAGTGTGCTTACTTTCAAACAGTCAAATGTATGCCCAGACGGAAAAGGACAATGTCCTCTCTTTGAAACTTGTTGTCCGATGGCTGGCGGCCAAGAAGGATGTTGCCCTTATGGGCCTTACGCCGTATGCTGCAGCGATAAAAAACACTGTTGTCCTTTCCGATCTATTTGTGACGTTGCAGATGGACTGTGTATTCTTCCATAAAATAGTGAATTATTTTGCTAATACTAAGAAATCAATTCTGATATAAGTTTGCAAATCTATAAAGATTAATGAATGTTGTTCAATGTCTTTACAGCAATAATCATTCAGGAAATGTTTTCTATTCCTTAAGTTTTAATCCTAAGATTGTTTTAGCACATGAGGTATTTTGCTTTGATAAACTTTACTACTGTCTCGTATCATTTGTTAAATCAGAAAATTGTACGGTACATTTTAATGTTGTTTTTTAAATGAAGTAAAATCGATATCTAACCGAAGTAATAAAAGATGAACTGTTGTTTCATATATTATACATACATACCGTTGCTTTTAAATGTCTATAAAAATGTACATTGATTACAAGAATTAAAAATATATTTAAATCATTCACGATCAAATCATATACAGTAGATCCCCCTATAAGACGGTAGATACGTTCCGTTCTTTATGAATCAATTTTGNTAACCGAAGTAATAAAAGATGAACTGTTGTTTCATATATTATACATACATACCGTAGTTTTTAATGTCTATAAAAATGTACATTGTTACAAGAATTAAAAATATATTTAAATCATTCACGATCAAATCATATAATTAAATCATACACAATTATCAAAGGATTACAGAATTCTCTCTCCCTAGTTAAATTTAACATACTAAACATGGTCAAATTGATCTCGCTACATGGTACAGTACATGAGTAATATGTGTACGTTATGAAAACTGGAGGTTTCTAGCTCCAGTAATTAATGAGTGCACTTGTTATAAACGTTAATAAAATTTATTTATTATTCAAATAGGCAATCAGTTTTTCGCCGATCGCCTATTTTCTCGGTAGAATTTGTTGCAGGAGACATTTTGATAATAAGCTAAATGTGTTGAGATTTTACAGATTTTTTAAAAATAAAGCATTGTGGGCTAATTCTAGCATTCTTTGTCATATAATACTCATGGAATTTCTTCGGGAGATCAAAAATGCACCAACGAGTTGCTTAACTTACCCAGCAACATTTAAAACTAGGTATTGTGCCATATGTTATGATATTTTATATAAAAAACTTTTTTATTTTTAATTATTATAAAATTGCATAGAGCATGATTTTGAGGCTAGGGGTGAGTTTTATAAAAAAAATTGCAGATGCTAATAACGAATAAAATCGTCATTAAGTCAGATACTACTCGAGATATGACACACGATATCCCTTTATCTTTCCAGCTCTCGTCATTTAACCACCAAAATTTAATAACATGTATCCCCAATATACAAACCTCAATGCACATTTTCAGAAATGAACATATATATATAAACATATATAGTATGAACATTTATATATATATATATATATATATAAGAGGAAATAAGAAAGAATCTTCTCGATTCACAATATTAAAAAACTTCAGATAGATTCATTAATAGAAAAAAGATTGCACAAGATGTTCTTCGAAGAGATTTCTTTTATCATGGATGAACCATAAGCAAGATGAATGCATATCCAAAATTGTTTCCATGTTTGACACTATAATTAAATAGATTTTAAAAAGATAAACACGGTTTCTTTTGGTACTAAAATTCTCGTTAACACACTACAATATTTTGTTTAGCATGAGGTATTTAAACTTTTGTTTCCTTTGATGCAACAATTCTGTATTTTGAAATTACGTGACACAAAGCTTGGTAATTTTCACATTGAAAAACCTATTGGGTAGCAAAACAAATTATTTTTTTCCCCTTTTTTTTCATAAGCTAAATTTACATAATCATATGTAGATTATATATATATAATCTCAACATTTCAAAGCCCGAGTAGTATACAATAAATCATCAAACGATCGCCTAAATATCGGACTATAATAAGACTAATTAAATGATTGGTATAGATTAATTTGACACAAGAGATGGCGCCTAACGTCTACCTCTAGTGTCAAATTAATTTATACCAATCATTTTATTAGCCTAATAATAGCCCAATATTTAGGCGATCGTTTGATGATTCATTTTATAATAGTTAAAAATATGAAGTGTTTTTAATAAAACACTTCATATTTTTATTAAACCTGTTGTTATATTTTTATTAATAAAAATATAAAGTTGTTATATTTTTATTAAACCTGGAAAACAAGGTTAGGACACCAATGTTTCTATTGAGACGCCATATTGGTTCCTTAGTTTCAAGGCCACGGTATAGATTTAAATAATGTCTGGTTGGCTGTTTGTTCCTCACTCCGTTCGGCAATTCGTGTGTATTACGTCATTCTTATAGACCCTCATACTAATTCGGTTTTTGTTTTGAAGCAGTTCGATGGTATTTGAATTATAGCAATTCGAATGAACTATGTGGAAACTTTAGGCCCAGGTGACCCCGATTAACTATATACGAANGAAAACGATATCACCGCTGTCGTCATACGATGTAATTATATAAGTTATATATATTTTATATATTAAAGTAGGTAAAAATTAATTAAATAAAGTATAACCTATTTTTATTTATAGTTAAATCAAACACAACAATCCACTTCTGGCTGCATATTTGATGAGGCAGAAAAAACAAATATAGTAAATGTACATGATGATAATGAAATGTTTAATGAAAGTATTTCATTGTCACCATGTACATTTGATGCACAGCCACCAAAAAAGAAAAAGAAGATGGGAGGAAAGGAGAAAGAAAATTTTTATGAATGTGCAATGAATGTAAGTTATTTCAAAATGTATACTGTAATTTATTTATTTATAGTTTACAACTCAGAGTGAACATCTAAAAAACTCAAAATTATTGAGTAAGTGTTCACTTTAATAACTGATACTATAAATATTACACAAATACAAAGATGATTAAATCATATATCTGCCTTTTCATTTAAGATTGTTTATTAAATATTTTTTCAGGCTCTCTGTAATGAACCAAGGAAGGATGTGTTTGATGAATTTGGCAGTATTATAGCTACCAAACTACGAACACTTCCTCAGAAAAATGCCTTAGATTTGCAAATGAAGATATTTTCACTTATTATAGAAGAAGAAAAAATGTTATGAATAATAATTAATTAATAAAAATCTTTAATTTATTGTATCAAAGTTGTATTTCTTAACTCAAAATAGTGTATCATTTATAATGACATAATTATAATAATTCCAAACTTCTTAAATATTTTCACATTTCACATTTATTATCTAATAATATTATAAATAAATTAATTTCATCTCATTGCCATTCTACTTGGCCTACAGTATTAAAATAAGTTTTGAATTCATCACGAATTGCTTTTGCTGCTGCTGTTGATGGATTTAAATTTCGACTGTTGTTGCTCTCCAAAGTTCTCACTGGTAGTAGCTGCGAGATAAGATTTTATTTTTCTTTCCCGTAACATATTGTGAAGAACACAACATGTTAAGATGATTTTTGTAGCCTTATCTGGAGATAATAAAATCACAGTACTGAAGACTCGCCAAACAGAAGACAGGATCCCAAATGCATTTTCAACAACTCTCCTTGCTCTTGATAATCTAACAATAATTTGAATTAAATTAAACAGTTTTTATGACTTATACACTAATAATAATAAATTGTTTTAAATAATTAATATATTAAATAGTTCTTTTACCTATAATTGAAGATGGATTTCTCAGCTGTCAACTGTTTCATTGGATAAGGCCTCATTACTCGTGAAGACATACCAATTCCTTCATCGGTAACAAATACATATGGAATTGGCTGTCCTCCACTTTGAAGAGAACTATCTGGTGGAAAGTTTAACTTTCCATCATCAATAGCCTTCTTCAGATTTGATGCATTCCAAATTGAAGAATCTCTCTGTCTCCCATTAGTGCCTGCATCCACATATATAAATGACAGATCTGCACGTACTATTGCCATCATAACTACGCTATAAAATCCTTATTTGGAAAAAAATAGAACTTTAGCAAACAATAACTGTATACAACCTCAAATAATTGACTAATAACAGAAATATTACCTTTGTAGATATAATAAGCAGATCCAGATTGCTTAGGACAGGATTTTTACATGTTTTCCATCTATTGCACCAAGGCAATGAGGAAATTGCCACATTTCATCAAATTCCCTAGCAATATCTTCCCATTCACATACTGTAGATGGTACCTTAGAAAAATAAACAATTTTAAATTAATGTAGCCAATATAATAATAAAGTTAAAAATCAAAATAATATGAAGTTCTTTAAGAACATTTGAAATAAATTTTTTCTGCACAATTTTCTTTTCAAATTAACATTATTGAGATATACCTTGTGTTGTATATTTGTCAACATATCTGGATAGTAACATTTGTATTAACTCAGTTTTAATACATTTAAATTTAAATGCTATATTTGATATAAATCAAATCTGCATTTATGAAAGTTATTGTTAGATTTATTTTTAAAAATTTGATTGCATTTAATAATATACAATTGAATATTAAAGAAATATAATGATTATATTAAAGAAAAAATATGTCGATTAAAAATGAATTAAATCAATCAAGCTTTCCTATGAACAACACTTACCCTCAAATATTCACTTTTATAAGATTGATAAATAGCATCCAAAACTTCTGGGATAATAACTGATATTGAATTATGCGCCACTCTAAATTGGTATGCTAAACTACGAAACGTTTCGCCTAAATTATATATGAACCATTTTAATCATAAGATTGCATAAAATATAAATTAAATACATAATATATTATATTCTTACCGGTAGCTAAATAACGAAGTGTCAACGAAAGACGTTCTCCGGGTGAAATAGAGCTTCGAAGATGTGTATCTTCTTTAGCTATTATTGGTGTTATCCTCCTTAAAATACTTTGGAAAGTATTCGTGTCCATACGAATATATCCCCTATAACCTTCGGCATCCGAAAGTCTTAATTCGTTCATCAGCTGGTGGAAGCAAGATTGTTTGGCTCGTTGAATTTCATTTCTCCAAGTTTTAACCCAGCATGAACGTTTTTTATTATTTTTCTCTTCTTATATTCTTGCCAGCTCTAACAAAATTATCGCCTTCTTTCTTTTATTCATTCCAGAAAAGGAACTGCTTGCCATTTCAATAAGAAAAGTGGCTAAAATGTCGTTAAATACTCTGAATTAGAACGTAAAATGGAGGTAAACTCACGAAGGTAGTCAAAAACGAGCTACTGTAATTTTATTGGCTTATTATAGGGTCACGTGTTTCCGAGTTGCAGCGTCAACGAACAATGTGTGACCACGAGAAGACGCGCACGACTCGCGCTTGTTGCAGTTGCAGTCGCCTGCGCGGCAAGAAATGGCATAGTGTGACCAGGGCTTTAGTGTGCGTTCTCGTAACGTACTAACTTGTAAGTACCAAATTTTAACTTTCAACTCCTAACCGTTTGGGCTCGTATCCATAATGTATATAGAAGCCTTAATCCTGTCTCTCTCCCTCGGGGGATTTCGAAAAATCCCTTCTTAGTGTGCGTTTTCGTAACGTCAGCTGCCAGAGCGGCAGGCTGACACCTTGACCGTTCGGCCATCTTGCCAACTTAAAATACTCTAGAAAGAGCTAAGATTAAATAAACAATTCTCGGACGGAGTCAAAATTAGATATCAAATGGTATTCGGACGATCGGCTTCTCTCGCGCCTTAATCTAAGTCTTGTGATACCTGGAAACTGAGGATGACTAATTGGAAAACGAAGAAGGAAGATCTTTCTACATCAATCAGAACTCTATTCATTAATTCACTAAAATCACAATATATAAACTGCGGAATCAAAGACACTAGGCTTTTATCCCATCGATTAGACAGGTATCTTATCAAAAGTTTATTCTAATTTTTTAATTTTATGCCTGTGTTTCTGTTATGTCTTCTCAACTGAGATTATCAAGGACATTCCCAATTTCACCTAGTTAACTTCCTCTGAGTTCCGCATTCGAAATCAACGCCATCCCGGGGCATCCATCTCACCGAGGATAAATCACACACATCCGGACCAAGAGACATTTCTGAAGTTATTTCGGAAAACTATTATATCATCAGTGGATAATCGACCTTTTTAAAAGAGTTTAAGCCACTCAAAAACTTGTCCTACTGAGGGCATGATTTCTGAATGTTTTCGGTATCATTTCATACGGCCCGTCAGATATTTACAAGTTTAACATATAATTTGATACATACAGGCCCTCTTTATCATCCGTCATTCAAAAATCGCAAGTGATAGTACCTCATTGCGTACGTGAACGTCACGAAAACGCACACTAAAAAGGGATTTTTTCGAAATTCACCCTCGGGGGGAATTTCGAAATTAAGGCTTCTATATACATTATGGATACGAGCCCAAACGGTTAAGAGTTGAAAGTTGAAATTTGGTACACAGTTAGATGCTACACAGTTCAAATCTACAGTATTGGTATTCTAGACGAATACCGAGATCGATGCGTTTTCGTGACGCATCGATCTCGGAAGTATTTTATTATTAGTTTCTCTGTTAGATATGCATTTTGGGCGCATTCCTTCATTTGTCTGACATATTTGGCAAGCAGAACATATGCTTTATAATATTTAATATACATTAATTACTAATAACCACTCTTTACTAATCTTTAACATGCAGTTTATTTTATTAACGTTTTCGATCAAATTAATTGATCTTTGTGAGGATCGAACGAACAATTTTTGATTTATGACGAACGTTACCTAATTTATAATTATTAGGCCTAGCAGGTAGACCCAGCGTTGCTCGGGCCAAAGTAACGATAACTAAGATAAAGATTATTACGTTACAGTCAACCTTACCCGTTTTCACAGAATGCAAGAATTGGGTCCCCTTGTTGTCAGACTAATTAGAGATTTTTTAGATGGGTCTAAAAATATGTTCGATTTCCCGCAAAAACGAAAAAAACTGCATCTGCGTATTACACGTCGCTTTCTCTTAACAATTCCATTGTTACGTAACATTTCCATTGTTGACACTTCCATTGTTACTTAAAACTTCCATTGTTACTTAACACTTCCATTGTTGATGGAAGTGTTAAGCCTTAATCCTGTCCCTCTCCCGTGGAAAGGAATTTCGAAAAATCCCTTCTTTAAAAGTTTGATCGATCCAAACTGTTCTTACGGAATACGGTACGGCCATACGGATACGATACGGACTTTATAACCATGCTATACGGATACGTTTACGGCTACGGATACGGTATGGATACGGTTACGTTACGGAGTTTATAACTCGACCTTAGTGTGCGTTCTCCTAACGTACCCTAACAGTGTACCAAATTTCAACTTTCAACTCCTAATCGTTTGGGCTCATATCCATAATGTATATAGAAGTTTTAATCCTGTCTCTCTCCCCCCGGGGGCAGAATTTCGAAAAATCCTTTCTTAGTGTGCGTTTTCGTGACGTACCCTATATGTGTACCAAATTTCAACTTACAACTCCTAACCCTTTGGGCTCTGCGCTGATTATTATTATTATTATTATCAACCCGTCTCGATTATATATCAGACTAGCTGTTACCCTCGACTTCGTCGGAGGAGGTTTTGAATGCAAACCCCATTAACATTCAATATTTCAATAACCATAGTAATTGTTATATAACACCTACCGCTGAAGAGAATCTTCAGCGGTAGGTGTCGAGAATCAAACAAACTATTTTCAATTTGATCAATTTTCTGGAACATTTACAATCGTTCTATAATCGAACCAATACGCAATAACAAATTCGAATTTAAAACGATTCGANGTGTTTGTATGTGGTGGTAGCCCCAAGTCTCCATTCGTGCATAGGGGTGGTTGCGTCTCGATAGCTATAAGGGTGCGGGAGATATGAGGCTGAAAGTGGTTGAAAGTGGCTTTCTATTTCGAATGTTTTGTTCGAATTTGTTCGAATTAAATTCGAACATAAAATTCGAATATTGGTTCGATTATAGAACGATTGTAAACGTTCCAGAAACGTTGAAAATAGTTCGTTTGACTAAACGTAAAAAATTCTGTAATTAGTCTGGAAACGGGGGACCTAATTCTTGCATTCTGTGAAAACGGATAAGATTGGCTATAACGTAATTATCTTAATCTTCACTATCGTTACTTTTTGCCCACAAATAAAATCCCAGCGAAGCGGGTCCTTGAAGCTAGTAATATTAATAAAATAAAATGAAATAAAATAGGTAAAAATAAAATAAAATAAAATAGGTAAAAATAAAATAAAATAAAATAGATAAAAATAAAATAAAATTAAATAAATACAAGAAAAGGCATCACAATATAAGGACAGATAGGGACTAAGAATTTGTATATTTTAATTTTTCTTTTATAAAAAACTCGCGTATAACCACTCACATAGCAATCCTGATATCTGGCTTCCCATAAGTATTCTTTTCTTTTGTATGTATACTTGTTTATTGTAATTGAAGGACTCATAGCATACCAATTTGGCTAATTCCATCAAATAATTCTGAAATGCACTAACTTCCGGTTTTATGCGGAGCATAAATTCGATTAAAGCTTCGTAACAGGATTCTATTTTTATGGATGGATACAGGTTTCCAAAATCCATAATTGACCCAATTCTTCCTCAAGTAAACTTAATTCTTGTAATTCTTTAACTACATTCGTCGGATTATATGCAACCAGAACACTGTTATCTAATTTATCTGAAATGAATCTATGGTGCTATTAAATAATGGAGCTTAAAAGTTAATATGGAGCTTAATGGAAGCTCCATATTAACTTTTAAGCGCCATTAATTAAGCTCCATATTAACTTTTCTTAAACGATCTCATATCCCGAAGCCAGCAATGCCAAGATTATTTGCCTTTGCAAAAATACATAAGGAAGGCAAAGAGGTCAGACCTGTGGTGTAGAAATGTAGAGGGCCAACATACATTCTGGAAAAACATTTACATAGATTCATTTCAGATCAATTAGATAACAGTGTTCTGGTTGCACATGAGTTATGTGCAACCAGAACACTGTTATCTAATTGATCTGAAATGAATCTATGGAGCTATTAAATAATGGAGCTTAAAAGTTAATATGGAGCTTAATGGCTGCTCCATATTAACTTTTCTTAAACGATCTCATAACCCGAAGCCAGCAATGCAAAGATTATTTGCCTTTGCAAAAATGCATAAGGAAGGCAAAGAGGTCAGACCTGTGGTGTAGAAATGTAGAGGGCCCACATATATTCTGGAAAAACATTTACATAGATTCATTTCCGATCAATTAGATAACAGTGTTCTGGTTGCCCATAACCCGACGAATTTAGTTAAAGAATTACCAAAATTAAGTTTACTTGAAGAAGTTGGGTCAATTATGGATTTTGAAAACCATGGATTTTGAAAATCCGTTCATAAAAATAGAATTCTGTTACAAAGCTTTAATCGAATTTATGCTCCACATAAAACCGGAAGTTGGTACATTTCAGAATGATTTGATGGAATTAGCCAAATTGGTATGCTATGAGTCCTTCAGTTACAATAAACAAGTATACAAACAAAAGAAAGGAGTACTTATGAGAAGCCCGATATCAGGATTGCTATGTCAGTTGGTTATACGCAACTTAAAAAATCACATTATTAATGGATTCAAAAAGGATATTGTATTTTACAAAAGGTATGTGGACGATGTGTACATTATTTGGAAAAACAGCAAGAGAATACATGAGTTCGTACAAGCAATCAACAACACCAATAATGATGGTTTGAAACTTAAACTAGAGCAAAAGAGTCACGAACGAATACATTTTCTAGATATAGACATACAATTAAAAGAAGATTGTATAATAACGGGTATTTACATAAAACCAACACACCAGCTAACTCGAATGACCCGTATGGATACAAAATGAGTGCTCTTCTAATAAGTGCATTTCGTGCACTCATTAGAAGAGCGTATTCATATTGCTCTAATACAGTGTTTTTCAACCTGTGGGTTGCGACCCCCAGAGGGGTCGCAAAGCCTTACACGGGGGTCGCGAGAAAAAGACAAGTGTTTGTAGGTCCTACACTACAATAAAAAAAAACTACAATTTCGTTGAGAAGGCTGGGCCTGTTTATTTTACAGTACAATTGGTTTATCGATCGATATTTAGAAAGAAAATTAAATACGTAGTTTTCAAAATCACTGATATAGTTTTAATATGATCTTGGGGGGTCGCCAGAATTTTTTAACTTGTAAAGGGGTCGTGTATTAAAGAAGGTTGAAAAACACTGCTCTAATGTACTGGACAGGATTAAAGAGTTTAATATAATCAAGGAACTAGCTTCAAACTTGGGTTATAGGAAAAGTACAACAGAAGGGATAATTAAAAGTTATGAAAGAGGCAATAGTTTAAGAATCCGAACAAATCAGTTAAAAATCACCAAGTTCACGTATAATAAGAACATCAAGGACATCATGAAGCAAGTTTCAGACAAAAAAGACACTCCAAAATTGTTTACAAAAGAGCTCCTAATTTGTGTGGTATTCTCAGAAACGACAAAGACAAGCTTAAAAAAAACAAAAAGCGGGCGTGTATAAAATTCCGTTTGAAAACCAACAACTGGGAATTAAGGTTTGATTAATATTGGAGTCACGACAAGGAATTTAGCTAATTTAATTAAGGAACACAAATATGACATTAATAAAGGACACTGCAACACGGTTTTGTCAAGAATGGCACAAGCGAAGGCTTTTGTTGTTAAATGGAATGAAGCAACTATTCTCAAGACCATGCGGTCTCCATCATTGGCTTTGCAATATGAAAAGATTGAAATCTATAAAAGTAAATTAAAGGATGGCTGTATTAATGCAAGGGATGCGAATGGATTAGCTTCTTCATGGAAGTTCTTAATAAAAGAAAAATTAAAATATACAAATTCTTAGTCCCTGTCTGCCCTTATATTGTGATGCTTTTCATGTATTTATCTATTTTATTTCGTTTTATTTTATTAATATTATTTATATTGTTATGGCTTCAATGTATTTAGTATATTTATTTTTGTTATTGATTTGTTAATTTATTTTTCGTTTTAATTTTGAATTTATAATGATCGAACGTTCCATTTAATAGAATTTTGAAATACGTTCGAATGCCAGTTCACCTGAAGATGGCCTATTCCATTAGGCTGAAAACGTTTGTGTTTAAATAAAGTTTTCTCAGCGATAGAAGGTGTTAAATGTTTTATTAAGTGCTTTTAAAAGAAGCTGAGTTTGATATTTAATTTGAAAAACAAACACTGACACAAATATTTCACGTGAATACATTAAATTAAACAAATTAAAAAATGTAAAAGTAGATGCATAACAAGTGTAATTCCATACTAAATATTCACGTAAATACAGTAACGTGTGTAAAAATGTGATCAACCTGATAAATAAATACTCTGATATTAACAAACTTTCGTTTCTTTATCACTAATTTTATTACCAAAATTAAATGGCAGGAAATCTTTCTTTAGATAAAGAATAGTTTCAATATATTATCTAACAGTAACTATCGATTATTCAGTAAGATTATCTAAAGGAGACTGACAACTCGACTATATAAATACGACATTGTGAACTCAAAGCCTAATTTCGCCATTTTTATTAGTAAGATATCATATATTCCTATAAAAGGTAGGCTGATTACATAAATCACATTATCTGTATTAAATGCATATTCATTATGTTATGATATAAAATGATAGCTTTAATACATTTATATTATATTTATAAATTAGATAATAATTAATTTAACATATAATTTATTTATTTAATAATGAATTTTATTTAACATTTGTTTTAATAAATATAGATACATAAAAATGTCATTATTGTAGAAATTTCTGATGCTTTTATTTTTTTATAATTTAATGAATAATTACGGAATTACCATTAACTACGATAGACAATACAACATTTATTTTTTAAGTTTAGATATAGATCATTAGTATTATTAGTCGAGTACATCCTTTAACATGATGTGTTATGTTTAATAAATACTTTGTATCAGGAAGCGTTTTATCATATACAGATTGTGTTCAAACATATGACGACGGAACATGATATGGATGAAATGGTGAAATATATAAATTTTATCGTCTTTATGCAGCATTTCTATTAAATATATGAAGTGTAAATTTGAACTAAAATACTTTTGTGACGTCGATAAACTTTTATAACATATTAATTTTATCATTTGAAATATTGCTTTCAAATGCTTTAGAATGTGCATTTAAAACACTTTAATGTTGTTTGTACTAAAAAATAAATCAGTTATAGCATAAAATTTACACTGAGTTATTTATTAACTATTAGAACAATATTATTAATTTACTAGAAATGTTTTAAAATACAAAACTAAATTGTCTCATTTCAGAAAATGAAAATTTTGATTTTTTCAACATTATTATTATCTTTGACAATTATCAAGGGTCAAGATATTTGTCCAGATCTTATTCAATATTGCGATGTAGGTAAGATTTGAATGATAAAAATTATTTAAATTTTAAGTTTTAATTGGCTGGATTTTTGACGTAAAATTAATATAATAATAATTTATTTAGGTACTTGTTGCCCGTCGCTAGAGGGTTTCGGATGCTGTCCCCTGGATGATGCGGAATGTTGTGCAGATCTTGAACATTGCTGTCCAGGCGGATATGTTTGTGTGGTTGAATTCGAAATTTGTGTGCAATGTCCAGGTCTGCAAGGAAGACGTAATTTTACAATGAAATTAGAGCCTCTCCTAGAACCTTTCTCTTTAGTTAGCTATTCGAATTCATGTCCACAATGTCCTAATTGGGCGACTTGTTGTCCGATGACTACAGGCCAAATAGGTTGTTGCCCTCTTGAAAACGCTGTCTGTTGTAGCGATAAGGAACATTGTTGTCCACACGGATATACTTGTGATGCCTCAGGGTTTTGCACATCAAATACAAAGCCAATGAAGATTCCAAAAATCCAGAAACATATTGAAAACAGTGAAAGCTCAATTCTTTTCTCAGAACACAAATCGTTGAAGCAAAACTCGGTAGATCTTGTACAGTGCCCCGATGGCAATTATTGCAATTCTGGAAATACTTGCTGTTTGATAGGTTCTAACACTTATGGATGCTGTCCCTTTCGTCACGCTGTATGCTGCTCTGATAAAGTTCATTGTTGTCCTAATGGTATGACATGCGATAGTTCAGGTTACTGTACCAATGGACCCGACATTATTTCTTGGTTTGAGAAAAAACCAGCAATTAAACGACCTAAGATCAAAAACTGAAGTTTTCAAGTTATATGCNATGGCTGTATTAATGCAAGGGATGCGAATGGATTAGCTTCTTCATGGAAGTTCTTAATAAAAGAAAAATTAAAATATACAAATTCTTAGTCCCTGTCTGCCCTTATATTGTGATGCTTTTCATGTATTTATCTATTTTATTTCGTTTTATTTTATTAATATTATTTATATTGTTATGGCTTCAATGTATTTAGTATATTTATTTTTGTTATTGATTTGTTAATTTATTTTTCGTTTTAATTTTGAATTTATAATGATCGAACGTTCCATTTAATAGAATTTTGAAATACGTTCTAATGCCAGTTCACCTGAAGATGGCCTATTCCATTAGGCTGAAAACGTTTGTGTTTAAATAAAGTTTTCTCAGCGATAGAAGGTGTTAAATGTTTTATTAAGTGCTTTTAAAAGAAGCTGAGTTTGATATTTAATTTGAAAAACAAACACTGACACAAATATTTCACGTGAATACATTAAATTAAACAAATTAAAAAATGTAAAAGTAGATGCATAACAAGTGTAATTCCATACNAAGATATATCATTACATTTTATATGCTGATAATTTGATTTTATTAGCTTCAACTAGAGTGGCGTTACAAAGAAAAATTATATATATTAAATATCTATTTGAAAAGTATACACTTATCAATTAATACGTGGAAGACTAAAATTATGATATTTAGAAATAACGTGAAGATCTCTCAGATAAAAAGAAGACAATTCACTTAAATTAATTAACAATTATTAACATTGGTAAACGAAATAAATTACTTGGGTGTAATATTTAATTGGAAAGGTAATTTTCGAGTTTATATGAAAAAGTTAAATACTAAAATAAATACGTTAATAGATAATGTTATATATTTATGTTCATCGTTGAAAATTACTAATTTGAAATTACATATGAAATTATATAACGCTTTGATAGTTCCTGCATTATATTATGCTAATTCAATGTGGGGATTAAATATTTTATATGATTTAGAATGATTTCACATAATTTTAGAATATTTAGAGTTGAAAGAAGGGTACTGGATATGCTCTCCGAAGTGAATCAAATAGATATCAATTATTTCCATTTTATTAAAAAATTTAATTAAGTTTTATTTAGGCTGAAACACACTAGTGATTTGGAAGTCAACTTTATAAACGAATCTATCATTTACATTTTTGTAAGGACTGTTCTGTGTGTTCGAATCTTAAAGCTAATTATGGCTTATGTTCGATTGATTTAGTCTCTCAGAACTTAATTAAGTGACATAAGGTTTATATGGGATGTCGTTGAATCGATTCATCATAAAGCCTTTAGACATGCCTTCACGATGAGTCGCTTTTTAAGCTATCGGTTATGTTTATTTAGCAGAAAGGTATGCTCACGCATATCAATTAAATCGATAAATTGTTTTTGCATAATATAATTTTCCATCAGCGAATGACGAAAGACCACTCGATTGTCTGAAATTCGACTGTTTCCGCATTTTTGTAATAATAGAACTGTGAAAATGTGAGAGTAGAGAGCCATTTATTTATTTTATTTATCACATTCCTAGTTTTACCTGCTTGATTTCCCGTCATATGTATGTCCTGAAATCCTAAAATCCGATTGGTGGAAAGTTTAGGATAAAAAAAGAAAACAATCACAAGTTTCGGGCAGCAGTCAAGTAGAACAATTGGTCATAATAGATGTAGTGGACAAGAATAAGACTCTGCCATAGAGGACGGCAGTCCTGCATAATACGAAGGTACCATTAATTACAGACAGTTTACAACCAGTTCGAACCTGCCCTGCTACCGCAATCCATGAACAGAAGGAACCTGCCATAATAATTAGAAGAAAAAGATAGTCCTGCTCCCACTCTCCAGCAGTCAACTCGCATTTTCCAAGTTTGATCGACAGAGGTAATATTATTATTTTTAACCGATTGTAAACTCTCTCGCGCGCGCTTAGAGGTGTATTCTAGATAGACTTGATTTGCTATAGGTTGTATGTACTTTTATCTCGATTTATGTATCTCTTTGTTTTATTTTACTCATTAAATCCTTTTGTTATTTGTTAACCTGTTTGATCCCTTTCTCAAGTACGGACATTCATACCGCTACGATCGAACTTACTCTCCACTCGAATAATAGCCCTTCTAAACGTCATCTAGTGACTCCTTGAGTAGATCTAACTGTTCTAACAACTAGAGCAGTGTTTCTCAACCTCTAACGAATCGTCGCCCCCTTCAACGTAGTATCGCCCCCTTCACTACAAAATACTGATGCCGAGGGCCAAGACTAATGCCAAATTCGTACTGCATTGAATAGACTAGTGACTAGTATAATATTATTTGTTTAATTATTACACGATATAACGAATAAAACATCTAATTATTTTTAATANGTATAAATAAAATATAAATAAAATATAAAATAAATAGTAAATACCAAATACATTATATGAATATGTTTAAAAATTCAAAAATAATTGAACATACTCTAAAATAATAGAGTATGTTCAAATGTCGTTTTATAATAGTACAGTAAAACCCGATTAAGATGTTCTCGCCTGAAATGTTAGAATGTATGTGGGAGCACATTTAGTTCAACCACTTTGAAGCTTAATAACTCCTATATTGAACCATCCGACTCCGATTCAAAAAAAACCACAGAAATTATTAGGCTTCAAACAGGGTGAAAAAAATTGTCTCCGCATACAGTCTAAAATCCATACATACAGGAAAAAACCCGAATCTTTTTCTTATCTCGACATTTCAAGATGCCATTAATCTAAAAATGTAAAAATTTAAGGGCGGGTCATTTTTTATCGATCACTACACTTGTGAATATTATCGAATACATATATTGACTATGTCATTACTTAGAGGAGTAAAGTATTTTAGCTTTGGAATAAAAAAGTTTCTACTTTCCATCAGAATTCCCGGGCCTATTTTGGTTACAAGTCGGCCCGTGGTCGGGTCGGAGTCGGATGATAAGGCAAAGTCGGAGTTTGAGTCGGTAGATTTTCACACGACTCCACAGTTCTACTTTATATCTAGGGGATCCAATGTATGATAGAGGCGTCATCTGTTGTCAGGAAAAGTACTTGCTTAATAAAATACAGAAATAACATATAATATAAATTATCAAATCATTTCTTTTACTATATTATTAGTATTATAAATGGTTTAGCTTAAGAATTTTAAAGTAATACGGTACTACAGTATATAAATTGTTCAAAATATATATAGCCATTTTTTAATTTTTGAGCAACCCGTTCTATGGTAGTTAATAATTTGGTAGCATTAAATTGCTTCCCATACTCTAAATTCGTGTTTTCTTATATTTTCAGGCAATAAACAGAAATTTTAAGCTTTCGCAGGTAACACGTTATGTCGGTTTTGGTTTAGATAATATCAAAAAATCGTCTGTAAAAATTGATTTTTGTTGTTTTGAAAGTCGGGCTTGTCTCTATATATACAGTAATACAAAGTATTAAAATTTCTGTATAAGTAACAAACATACTGGAAATTTTCATTGATTGTTCATAAATTATTTAAGAAAGTTTATAAATTAAAATTTTGTTTTGCTTCTAAGCGAATTTTGCAGTACAAGTCCCTCTACACACGAACCGGTATACCTGAAGGTATGAAAGACAAAATTTTCAGTTGTTTTCCCACCACACGTTCAGATATACCGGACAGATGCACCTGTTCAGGTATACCCATAAGTGTGTAGCCGGTCTAAGAATTATTCTTGCCGGATTCTGCCCAGTTCAGAAAAATAAAGTGCTTTAAAAAAATTCAAGTTGAAGGATATTTAATCATATCATTTAATCAAGATCAAGGTTATTTTATAGAGTTTATTAAAGTTTATTATAAACAATATCATTACTAAAATAACGTGTATAATGGAAATTAATTAAAACTAATTGAAATTGTAAAGTTGAAAATTAATTAACTTTACGAAATGCGTATTTCAATTGACGAAATTAATTTTTTGATAATTTTTAATCAATTTTTTACTCTAATGTTATGATCTAGAATGACAGACGGCTAGACAATGGTATTTATCTATCTAATCAGTTTGTATAGACGATAATGGGAGAATTGCAATAGGACAGTTTTTTGTACTGAATGTATATGTTGTTGGTTTTTGACACAACGTTCACTTTGTTAATTCTAAATTCAGTTATCAATTTTAAAAACTTAACATTAAATATTGTTTCATTTATTTTACATTACATAAGTGCTTATTTTCTATATTGATATAACAATTCTCAATTAAATGCATTTGAAAGAAATAATTTTAAATAATAATAAATATTTTACCTGGTTTTAAAAACAAAATTATAATTAGATTAAAGTTTAATCAAATATTTTAATTTAATTTTCTGTCAGTAAAAATAAGATGTCAATCTCTATAATATGTTCTTCGCAAATAAGTCCATAAAAAACATTCTGTAGAGTAAGTTTTTATTAACTCATACGCTATTAATATAAATTATCACATATCGAAATTACTCTATATACTTTAATCTTAAAAAGTTATTAACAACATGAAACAATAAAATATTTTATTTCAGAAAATGAAGGTTTTTGTTCTTTCGATATTGTTAGCGGTTGTGACGATAATTAAAGGGCAAGTAATCTGTCCAGATTCTAAATATCAATGCAAAGAAGGTAAGGTTTTGTGTTTTTAATTCATTTATTCATTTCATTACTTTTAATTACTTAATTAATATATTAAAATTTCATGTTTAGGTCAAACTTGTTGCAAGACTAACCAAGGATACGGATGTTGTCCTATGGAGGATGCGGTATGCTGTTCAGATCTTCAGCATTGCTGTCCAGACGAATATATCTGCGTAGATCTATTTGAAATCTGCGTAAAGTGTCCAGATGTGACAGGAAAACATAATTTTACAAGAAAATTAGAGCCTCTCCGAGAACCTTTCTCTTTAGTTATCCACGCGAATTCATGTCCACAATGTCCTAATTGGGCGACTTGTTGTCCGATGACTACAGGCCAAATAGGTTGTTGCCCTCTTGAAAACGCTGTCTGTTGTAGCGATAAGGAACATTGTTGTCCACACGGATATACTTGTGATGCCTCAGGGTTTTGCACATCTAGCACGGAGCCAATGGAGAATCCAAGAATGCAGAGGCATGTTCAAAACAGTAAANATATAGATACATAAAAATGTCATTATTGTAGAAATTTCTGATGCTTTTATTTTTTTATAATTTAATGAATAATTACGGAATTACCATTAACTACGATAGACAATACAACATTTATTTTTTAAGTTTAGATATAGATCATTAGTATTATTAGTCGAGTACATCCTTTAACATGATGTGTTATGTTTAATAAATACTTTGTATCAGGAAGCGTTTTATCATATACAGATTGTGTTCAAACATATGATGACGGAACATAATATAAATGAAATGGTGAAATATATAAATTTTATCGTCTTTCTTTATTTAGCATTTATATTAAATACTGTATATGAAATATAAATTTGAACAAAAATACTTTTCTGACGTCGATAAACTTCTATAACATATTAATTTCATCGTTTGGCATATTGCTTTCAAATGCTTTAGAATGTGCATTTAAAACACTTTAATATTGTTTGTACTAAAAAATAAATCAGTTATAGCATAAAATTTACACTGAGTTATTTATGAACTGTTAGAACAATATTATTAATTTACTAGAAATGTTTTAAAATACAAAACTAAATTGTCTCATTTCAGAAAATGAAAATTTTGATTTTTTCAACATTATTATTATCTTTGACAATTATCAAGGGTCAAGATATTTGTCCAGATCTTATTCAATATTGCGATGTAGGTAAGATTTGAATGATAAAAATTATTTAAATTTTAAGTTTTAATTGGCTGGATTTTTGACGTAAAATTAATATAATAATAATTTATTTAGGTACTTGTTGCCCGTCGCTAGAGGGTTTCGGATGCTGTCCCCTGGATGATGCGGAATGTTGTGCAGATCTTGAACATTGCTGTCCAGGCGGATATGTTTGTGTGGTTGAATTCGAAATTTGTGTGCAATGTCCAGGTCTGCAAGGAAGACGTAATTTTACAATGAAATTAGAGCCTCTCCTAGAACCTTTCTCTTTAGTTAGCTATTCGAATTCATGTCCACAATGTCCTAATTGGGCGACTTGTTGTCCGATGACTACAGGCCAAATAGGTTGTTGCCCTCTTGAAAACGCTGTCTGTTGTAGCGATAAGGAACATTGTTGTCCACACGGATATACTTGTGATGCCTCAGGGTTTTNAGGCCAAATAGGTTGTTGCCCTCTTGAAAACGCTGTCTGTTGTAGCGATAAGGAACATTGTTGTCCACACGGATATACTTGTGATGCCTCAGGGTTTTGCACATCAAATACAAAGCCAATGAAGATTCCAAAAATCCAGAAACATATTGAAAACAGTGAAAGCTCAATTCTTTTCTCAGAACACAAATCGTTGAAGCAAAACTCGGTAGATCTTGTACAGTGCCCCGATGGCAATTATTGCAATTCTGGAAATACTTGCTGTTTGATAGGTTCTAACACTTATGGATGCTGTCCCTTTCGTCACGCTGTATGCTGCTCTGATAAAGTTCATTGTTGTCCTAATGGTATGACATGCGATAGTTCAGGTTACTGTACCAATGGACCCGACATTATTTCTTGGTTTGAGAAAAAACCAGCAATTAAACGACCTAAGATCAAAAACTGAAGTTTTCAAGTTATATGCAATTGTTTTGAATATATTTTTTGAAAGTATAAGCCTTTGTAATTAATTTTCGATTAAAATGATTTAAACTTGTTCGTAATCAACATTACGAGAATGTATAATTATTCTAATTTTGGAGAATTGTATACAATAAATATTGAAATACAACTGTAAATATTTCTGTTTTCTTTGTACTTATTCAAAAACACGTCAGTTTTTAATAAATTATATATTGATTTATTAATTTTTAAGAATTCNTTGTTGTCCGATGACTACAGGCCAAATAGGTTGTTGCCCTCTTGAAAACGCTGTCTGTTGTAGCGATAAGGAACATTGTTGTCCACACGGATATACTTGTGATGCCTCAGGGTTTTGCACATCTAGCACGGAGCCAATGGAGAATCCAAGAATGCAGAGGCATGTTCAAAACAGTAAAAGCTCAATTCTTTCCTCAAAACACAAATTGTTGAAGCGAAATTCGGTAGATCTTGTACAGTGTCCAGATGGCAATTATTGCAATTCTGGAAATACTTGCTGTTTGATAGGCTCTAACACTTACGGATGCTGTCCCTTTCCTCGAGCTGTATGCTGCTCTGATAAAGTTCATTGTTGTCCTAATGGTATGACATGCGATAGATCAGGTTACTGTACCAATGGACCGGATGTTATTTCTTGGTTTGAGAAAAAACCAGCAATTAAACGACCTAAGATAGAAAACTGAAGTTTTCAAGTTGCATGCAATTGCTTTGATTATTATTATTTTTTTTTTTTGAGAGTATAAGTCTCTGTAATTAATTAACTTGTAATTACTTAACAATTAAAATGATTTAAACTTGTTTGTAGTCAACATTACAATAATGTATAGCAATTCAATTTTCGAAAATTTGATTATTTTTTTGAGAGTATAAGTTTCTGTAATTAATTAACTTTCGATTAAAATGATTTAAACTTGTTTGTAATCAAGATTACAATAATGTATAGCAATTCAATTTTCGAAAATTTGATATTATAAATATTAAAATTAAAATTTGTTTCTCTTAATAAACTATTAATTACTTTCATTTACAACATGTATTTTCTTTTAGTTTATTTAAAACTAAAAACAATCTTAATCCAATGGTTTAAATGTAGAAAAATAAACTAACTAATAAAAAGGCATATAAGTACTGGTATAATATATACTGTATATCAATTCATTTCATTTATTTACAAAAGAAAATTTAAAAAGTAACTAAAAATCATATAATTTGAAATAAGCTAGATTAAATTTTTATATTAATCCTTATTTCAATTTCAATTAAAGATTGAAATAATTGATTACTTTATTAAAATTTCTGTATAAGTTACAAACATACTGGAAATTTTAATTGATTGTTGATAAATTATTTAAGAAAGTTTATAAATTAAAATTTTGCTTTGCTTCTAAACGAATTTTGCAGCATAAGTTCAATTACACACGTACCGGTATACCTGAAGGCGTGAAGGACAGAACTTTTAATTGTTTTCCCACCGCACGTTCAGATATACCGGATAGATGCACCTGTTCAGGTATACCCGTACGTGTGTAGCCTGTTTAAGAATTGTTCTTGGCGGATTCTGTTCTGTTCAGAAAAATAAAGTTTAATCATATCGTTTAATCAAGATCAAGGTTATTTTGTGGAGTTTATAAAATTTATTATAAACAATATCATTTCTAAAATAACGTGTATGGTAAAAACTAATTAAAACCAATTTAAATCGTAAAGAAAAGTTGAAAATTAACTTTACGAAATGCGTATTTCAATTGATTAAAATAAATTTTTGATATTTTTTAAT